CTAAGCATTCTACGTGGACTTTTTGTGACTCGGGTCTGGGGAAAAGGTAGCAGTAGAGGAAGGAATGGAATTTGTAATCTGATAGTCGGTATGAGCTACCTTCTGGGGCCCCGGCTCCTCTGTGGGAGCTGTGGTCAGCCTGTTAGGCTTGCCAGGGTCATTTTTTGAGTCTGTTCTTGTTGGAGCGAACTTGGCAGTTCTCTGTACAATACAAACCTGAAGGAATCCAGGATCACAGAGTCGTGTTGTAGCCAGCAGCCGAACCACATTACTGTCATGTGGTAAGTTGGTACTTTTTCTTGCATACCACCTTCATTGGGAATTCTAGTTTTTTATGTAATTACTCGCAGTAAAATGTACAATGGCTTCCAATATGCAGTATAAAGTTTAGAACAAAGTATGGACGATCCTAAAACACTATTCTTTAATTATTTGTAACAAGCTGTGTCACCTGAAAGCACATTCATGAAGGAAGGGCTTCATAAGTTGACTTAGTTCCTTAATCGATGGTTATCAAACCTAAAAATAGTTTTAAAAGGAGCTATATTTAAACTTGTTGTTTATTATCTGAAATCCTGCTCAGTTATATTTGTTTTTATATAGCACCTTCCCGATATGACTGGCCAAAGGTGCTTAACATAGACTCAAAAGAGGGTAGAGCTTATTGACATACAACAGCTTAGGGTTGCAATAGTGTAAAGAGAAAATTAATAATAGCCAGAATTTAGCAGAAGTGAGGAAACCATCCATCCATTTTCTGTAACTCCTTGTCCTACTTAGGGTTGCAGGGGGTCCAAAGACTACAAGTGCAAAGCAGGGAACAGCCCAGTGGGGCACCAACCCATCGCAGGGCACAGTCACATACCATTCACTCACACATCATTCACTAACACACCATTCAGTCACACTCACATACCATTCACTCACACACCATTCACTCACACTCACATACCCTCACTCACACTCACATACCATTCACTCACACACCATTCACTCACACTCA